GGGGGGGGGGGGGGGGAGGGGGAGGAGACAGAGAAGAAACAAAAGGAGACAGATCCTCGTATACAGAGGAGACAGGAGACACACATACTACACCAGAGGGGGCCCCCAATGGGCTTAGGATTAGGGGGGGGGCCCCACCCCGGCCTTCATATACAACATCACCTCCTGCTGCTCCTGCTGCTGCTGCTGCTGCTGCTGCTGCTTCAGTTGGTAGCATCAATACAACTTCCTCCTCTTGCTGCTGCTGCTGCTGCTGCTGCAGTTGCTGCTGCAGTTGCTGCTGCTCCTCCTCTCCATACACATAATACGTATGCTGCTGCAGCATCTCAGGCGGAAGCTGATGCACCACGTACGGCTGCTGCTGCTGCTCCTGCTGCAGTTGCTGCTGCTGCTGCTGCTGCTGCTGCAGTTGCTGCTGAGGTACGCACGGCTCTGGCTGCATAAGATATGGTCCCTGAGAGGGTTGCTGCTGCAGCACATAGTATTGCTGCTGCAGCGCATAAGGCTGCTGCGGCAGTTGCTGCTCCAACAAAGGTTGCTGCTGCCGTTGCTGCTGCTGCTGCTGCTGCTGCTGCTGCTGCTGCTGCTGCTGCTGCTGCTGCTGCTGTTTAAGCGAGGCAGGGAGGATTCTCCCCTCTTCCGTTAGGTTTAAGGGGGCAACACGAAGAGGCCTGAGGAAGGTTGTAGTTTCTGTAGCTGCAGCAGCTTTTGCTGCTGCTGCTGCTGCTGCTNTGCTGCTGCTGCTGCTGCTCCTGTAGTATCCCGGGGGGAACGGGGTGTATGCGGAGACACCGCAGGGCTGTAGCTGCCGCTGCTCTGTCTCTTATGGCCCCCAAATATGCGGGAGGCCCCCCCGAGGAAGAGTTTCCTTCTGGGGGCCCCCGTGTTGCTGCTGAGCCGAGGGGTCCCTGCTGCTGCTGCTGCTGCTGCTGCTGCTGCTGCTGCTGCTGCGGGGGGTTTTCCTTTCTTTGTATTCTTCTTAAAGGGGCCCTCAGAGTCACCGCAGCACACAAAGGGGCCCACTGGCACCACCTCAGGCTGTACGAGGGGGCCCCCCAGGGGGGCCCCCCGCGGGGTTGAGGGGCCCCTACCACACAGAGGGACCGGAGCAGCAACCCACGCCTCGACAGAAGTTCTCCTCCTGGGGGCCCCCTGAGGGGGCCCCCCCTGGGGGGCCCCATGGGGGGCCCCCTGGGGGCCCCCCTGGCGTGTGCTGCGAACAGCAGCTGAGAGGGAGGGGGCCCCCGGAAGCAGCAGAGCCCCGCGGGGGGATCTAAGGAGGGGTTCACTGGGCAACACCTGCTGCTGCTGTTGCTGCTGTTGCTGCTGCTGCTGCTGCTGCTGCTTGTGCTGCTGCGGCTGCAGCAGCAAACGCGTAGCCTCAAGAGGAGCAGCAATGGGGGTGTTGGGGGGGTGTATGGTTTTATAAGAAGCAGAGGCCTGGCTGTAGGTGGTGGTGGTGTGTCGTGCGGTGTATATACACCCCGCCGCGTAGTTCCTCAGCACCAGCGGCTCCTGCTGCTGCTGCTGCTGCTGCTGCAGCTGCTGCTGCAAGAAGCTGCTGCTACTCGTGTGCGGCGGCAACACTGCTGGGGGGCCCCTCGCTGCGATCCCCTCTATGGAGGGGCCCCCTAAGCAAACCCCTTCTCGGGGGGCCCCTGTTGTCTGCGTGTATACCCTGGTTGTGTTAGGGTACGAAGAGGGGGCCCCTGTGTATTGATGGGGGCCCCCTGGGTACTGATGGGGGGCCCCTGGGTACTGAAGGGCATCGATAGTTTCTCTGTGTGAGCTGCAACCCCCGAAGGGGGTTGGGGGCCCCTCAAGGGGGGCCCCATAGCGTAGAGGGGGCCCCCCTGATAGAGACAGAGAAACCCGAGGAGACGATCCCCAGCTGTATGTGCTGTCTCCTTCTATGGATCCCAGCTGTCTCCTTTCTGCAGCAAGCTGCTGCAGCGAGGAGACAGCTTGCTGCTGAAAGGAGACAGTTTGCTGCTGAACAGAGGGGCCCTCAGATGCCCCCTGTACCTGCACTAGGGGACGAGGCGAAGAGGGGGCCCCAGAGGGGCCCCCATGGGGGCCCCCATGGGGGCCCCCATG